CCCCCCCCTCGGCATAATAAATGTACTTTCCCTAATTAATTACAATTTACCATTACCTATTAAAAAGAGGTCATTGTAATTGGGAATTAAATATCTTTTTGAACCAGGCAATTGTAATTGGAATTAATTCTTATTTCGTCAGTAATTTTGCAGCTCTGCAAAATAAGTATAGGTAAAGCTAAGACATGAATAGTTCAACTTGGTAGGCTGTAAAACACCGCGGGGGCTTGAAGACGTACAGTAACTACTAGGGTCGGTTGTATAAAAAGGTAGTTAAAGTTTATTACAGTTAGTTCGAAAGTTAACCATTCAAAATCGCGTATTTTAGAGTTACATATAATTAAACTACAAATATTGGTTAAAAAGTATAATTTCAGAGTTTTAGAATAGTTTAAGAGTATGGTTAATAGTTAAAAGTAGTTAAGAGTAGAGAGAGAAAGGACTTCGCTCGAACGTTTTTATGGTATTTGCATAAGTACCAACCGAAGTTTTTAAGAGGCAATTTTTTTCAATGTCACGTATTTGCAATGAAAAGTGTTCAGAACCTAAAATCTTTTTGGCGTTCCGATCCTCTCAAACTTACTTTGTTTTAGCTTTATTCTCTAGTTTATAGAGTTAGCTACCTTTTTAAATGCATCTGCCGGTTGAGAAACATAAAATAATAGTTAAAAATTGTCAATTAAAATACGATTATCAATGACGCTTTAAGATTGATGCCATATTTACAGCCATATAAGCAAAACTTACTGAAATTCAGACATCATTTTCTCTTTGGCGTATCATCTAAAATCTCTTCATTTTAGCATTATTTTACAGATAAAGCACTAAACATACTTTTTAAGTTTGTTTGCCGATTGAGAAACGTATCGAAAAATAAAAATTTTGAATTTAATTAGTCATCACCTCAAGTGATATATTATACGCATTAGTTTTGAGCGCGTGTTACGTAACATACAAAAAACTCCTCTTAAAGAGTTTTATCCAACCGGTCCCTGACCGGTAGCGGGTTAATGATACTAGACTGACATATAATTATAATGGAAATCATATTTGCATCACTAATAAACACAAACTACATCCATATAGTATTGAAATGGAATTTAGTTTAATTGGAATATTTAATCCTAACCCTAACTAGAATCCACATTATTTAATTTTCGAAAAATATTTTCAGTACATTGCTATAAAAAACACTATATCAGTAAGAGTTTTGTTACAGCAACGTACTTTTTCTCCCTATAGGACACGTCATAAATACCCAAATTTTGCCTCTGTTTTCATTCAGTTCAATTAGCTAAATTTTGGTAAAACCAAATTATACAAATTTTGTCTTTGGATCTTAATTTAAATGACATATCCCCCTTTTTCATGGATTACTTGCATGAGACAAGTGATTCGTTTTCAAACTTGAAGCTGAAAAATTGCTTGCACGCATAAATTGCGACATTTTCCCAAATCATCTAACGTTGCTCATTATGACAGAACTTCTTCTTTTCCTTTTTTGTAGGTTGATTTCTTCTGGATAAATCGTGACCAGGCATCTTTTGAGTGGTTTATCAGTCTACTGGCTCAGTTGGAGATGGAACAGTCAGAACAACGAGGTGTGTTCAGTGAGCATTTCTTAGACATGCATATTTATATGACATCGGCTCTAAAGAAGGAAGATATCAAAGCACTCGGACTACAAATGGCTCTGGAACTGATACATGAGAAAAAAGAAAAGGATTTAATAACTGGATTGAAAACAAAAACAAATCCTGGACGTCCAGACTGGGATAAGGTACGCTTACCCATGGGGGAATAGAAATTTTTTGTGTTTCTAAACAGTTAATTAAGAAACACGCGTGGGAGTTTGGAAGAACGAGAAATAAATTTATCCGCTAATTACAACGGCCAGCATGCTTTTCTATGCTTGGTTACGGCTTACGTCAAATTACATTACCTGACTCGTAGTTTTAGGCAATTTAAGCCGCCGGCTATTAATCTAACACATAGCTACAATCTTGGACAAAACCTGGTGATATATATATGATCATGCAAATGTCAAATTCATGCGTTTTTCAAATTTCCATGTGTTCGCCCTCCTCACCCTCACCCCCACCCGCCATTCAATGTTTCTTGGATGAAATATACACCTGGGTTATGTAGCTATCAAATACTGTCAATATTAGAGTGGGGGAGAAGGCTACAACATAATATATATTCAGCTCCTAAATATTCCTTAACATAGCTAGTTAGTCGGTGGGGCACCTGTGTCGTCAGGGACCATAGGTTTCGGCTTTAGTGTTTCGTCCTTTACTTGCTAACTTTAGTAACCGGAAGGACATATAATAGTTTTGTTTGTGGAAACACCACGTAAATTTATTACTGCAAAGCTTTCGTTCCGTAAGCCCGGAACTTCATCAGTGCTAATAATATGTGACTTGTTTAATTCACACGCCCTTTTTATATACAAAAGTGTCGTGATATGTTGGCTCGCGTCATTTGAAATTTAATTAAACGGCACATTTAAATTTCAAATGACGCGAGCCAACATATCACGACACTTTTGTATATAAAAAGGGCGTGTGATTAAACAAGTCACATATTATTAGCCGTACTGATGAAGATCCGGGCTTACGGATCGAAAGCTTTGCAGTAATAAATTTACGTGGTGTTTCCACAAACAAAACTATTATATGTTTTATCGCCATGC